CAACAAACTATAACCTCAACTCTGTCAAGGCTGACCAACACCACAGAGGCCTGCTGTGAGCAGATGATGAAGAACACCCATTAACATTCTGCAGGGCAATTTCTCAAAAGCTTCACGGCCTTGAGATCCTAACTGTTACAGAGAGGCTTCAGACGATCTTTGTGCTTCAGCGCCTCCGGGGCACTCAGACAGTCTTAAAGGAGTCATTCAGGAGGCAACAATGGTTGTTAAATGTTTACCGCCAAGTCAATCTTTAGGCTGCAGTTTCGGTTACACAACACTCGAATTTAAGAATAGAGTATGCTACGCATATTCAGTTACATACTGTCACTGTTTTTTAAATTCCCTTCATTTGTGCATGCATAATGTTCTGTTATGGATTGTGAAATCAGTCCTTGGCATCTACTGAATTGAAGCATAATCTGTGTATGGGCCAACAGGCTTACCAAGAGACAAAAAAGACCAACAAACTACAGCTGCACTGCAATTCTGCTCAAGGTTGAGAACAAAAGAGAATGCTTTCATAAAGCAAGCGCCAACTTTTCTTCGGTTATTCCTTTTCGGAGAGCTACTCTGACTCTTAGAGGCCCCATATAACAAAACATCAAATTTTCATTTTTTTTTAAATAAAAGAGTTTGGCGTAGCACGTAAGCACTGTTAAAGTTTCAAAACGTACCACTCACTCCCCACAGTCCATCTATGGAAACTAGGCTTCGGCTTGTTTTTGATTTATTTTTGTTACTACACAAAAAAGCAACACATTCAAACATATCCACACATTCAGACTGCAACAGTTTAGGCTTACCCAGTCATGCTGAGGCTCTTACGTAGTGTTTCTGAATGAAGCACAACACAGAGCACCCAATAACAACAGAGCACATTTACATATATCAATCTCCAGTGATAAAAACAGCCTGTTTAATTCTAAAGAGTAAAGAAGGGTCATGTAAAAATGAATTGTGACTGTTTTTGGTACATTAAATCAAACAAATGTCCTAAGTGGAGCTCCAGGCTCTTTACTTTTTAATAAATAATATGGTTACTTAAGAAAAAGACTATTATTATTATTATTATTATTATTATTATTACTTAAGTATCTTGTTCTTTGATTTTTCTATGCAGCACAGCAAGAGGTGAGAAGATTTCAGAGGGAGATCTATTTGTGCCCAAAACACCCAAAAAAAAAACCCGCTGGACAGATGTACTCGTCCAGCAGTTCATTATGTACCCGTGTCCTAGCACTTCATTATGTAAACAGTGCTCTGGCATACATTTGCAACATGAGAGAGAGAGAGAGCCAGAGAGACAGGGAGTCAGAGAGTCTGCACGCATCAGCGCTCTGATTAAAAAACTGTGAGGTGAAGCATTAACAGAGTCTAATTACATTTCAGACAACATTTTAACGCACACACATGCACACAGAGAGCGAAAGAGATCAGTCACAGACAGACAGAGGCACTGGGGATGGAGTGGAGAAAATAAAGAAAGAATGAAGACATGTTCAGAGGACTCGTGACCGCTTGACATTTCTGAGACGCCTCAGCGGAAAGCAGCGGAAATAAAGCAAGGTTTCAGCGTGAGCATGAACACGCTGTACACCCAAGAGGTGCTCCGGCAGCACGAAACTGTAACAACTACAAATTTAACCCCTTGATACTCAGGCTTATTCTTCAGCTATTAGTCTATAGTAAGGAGTACAGATCATGCAAACTGCTATTAAAGTAATACGCAAGTTATACAGCTATGAGAGTGAGGAGCTGAACTGGGGCTCTTTGTGTTTAAGGGACCTGAAAGTGTTAACACACCCCAAACCCAACCCAAGAATATTTTGCCTTGGCCCTTGAATCCGAACCCAGTTGCGGCCCAATAAAATACTCTCCCAGCTTCACCACAAACAAACAGAAACCGAATAAAATTCCTCATTCCTAACAAGAGCCTCACTAGCTTTGTTCCAAAAGCTAGGTGGGTCCTCAGTAGCGCTATTCTTTGAATGCTCCTCGTTCGTGTTACATCGCACAAAAGGATTGGTCTACCCAGTCGGCTTCGTCTGGGCATCCGAATGGAAAAACTACTGGCCTTTTGGACCTCGCTACCAACAACAGTGCCAGATTTAAAACTGTTCACCACTTCTAGGCTTATTCATCAGTAATTAATCTTAAGTCTTAACCTTCTAATGTAGCCCTAACACCTTGCCCTACCCCTCTATCTCAACTAAAATTGGGACACGGGTAAGGGGTAAAATAGGATTGGGCCTTTTTATTATCCAGTAACTACTATAAATTACACAGTAACTGCAGGGAAGCTACTGAGTAAGGTCTGAAGTTGCCGGAGCACAGAATGAGTCTCAAAAAAAGGCCAAAACTGTTAAAGGTAGAAGACGGAGCAATGAGAAAGTTAAGGTGAAATCTGAACCTGACACTGGACCATCAGAAATGGTGTCTGAACCCGACCAAATCCCAAGTCAGGTTCAGACAAATATTTCAAGCTCTAATAACAATTGCATAACAGCATAGGAAACAGCATAAACATCATCAAATGACTCTATTCTCTCTGTCCCTGTCTTCAGCAACATGTTCGAGAATGGGGGCAGAAATGGAAGGTTTAGCGAAAGCTAATGCTATGATAGTCATTCATTACTCCTGACCAATCACAGGCCTACACCTGTCTTTAAAAAGAAGCGACCTTACGTACCTATTCTGATTTTAAGGTCTTACATTTTGCCGTTCCCCTCCTTCCTTCCCACCACCACAAATTGGGTCCTTATTTGGTTGTCTAGGGGTTTAGGCTCCGCCCCTGCCGTCCCTATCAGGCAGGATCAGTAAGGGTCTTGGTGCTCCAAGACCTGGACCAAGGACAGGGCCTATGCCAAGGACTCTTTAATTTCTACTGAACTGTTATCTTTCAAATTCCACTGAGGATATAAAATATCTTCTTCTCATATACCTTCTTCACTGCTGAGTCTTTCTGGCAGAATATTCACAACTTCTACACTTGCAGTGGTCCTGCGGTTCATCAGACAGGATGTCAAACTCTGTGAAAGGGCTTCAAAACAGCGGTTACCTTACATAAGAGGGGCCACTTCTGCTTGTCATCTCCGAACGTCCATTTCTTCAAGGCTACTTTGCAACACAGTCCTAGAGGAATGGCTGCTGTTTTGTTAAATCACTTGAAATTTGCTCTCATTTTCCACACAAGCACTTTAGATCTAATAATTTGGTTTCAAACCATCTTTTGCCAAGAGACGAAAACAAGAAATGGCACAGTGCCATTTTTTATTTTCTGATATCTTGAGATCACATTTCTTTAAAAATGACTGAACTTTAAAATGAACTGTTTAACTGACTTAACAACAGCATTTAAAAGTAGGCTATCAGACTCAAACTCGCTCATGCAATCACTTTACTAATCTCACAGGAGAAATAGTATACAATATCACACAGTGTGAATGTGTGGTGTTTCAGCACAGACGTGTTACAGAATTGGATTCATTCTTTTTTTCTTCCGAAATCCAACCCAATACTTTCTACTGATATTGCCATGATACTGATACCCATCAATACCTACACGCAATGTCTATAGGGCGTTGAAAAAGTGGAATTTTCAAATTGTAAGAGCTCACCGACAAGTTTTAAGTTGGGATCTTTTTCCCTAAGAAGCCAAGCTTATGAACTGTGTAGAGTTTGACAAATCAGAGCCACTGAACACAACAACACAAGCTAACTGGCCATCCGGGCACACTACCAGCATAGCAAGCATATCTCAGTCCACTGCCTTGATAAGGTCGGCACGCCGCTGACTGTTTGCCACTGCTGGTCCACCCTCGGACCACCCAGACTACTGTCCTCCATACAGCTCTAGTTTTTATTCTCCTCAAAAAGATTTTAAATGCACACAGCCTTTTATTTTAGACAAATATTACAAACAACTGAAAGAAAAAAATGACTAGGCCTAATATAAAATGATGAATGAAATTTTGTCTAACCCTCTGCTTAACCAGTGGTGGGCCGCCCAGAAAACGCTGAACAAAACACCAGCGAACCACCAGCTTTGCCAACAGCTGTCCAACAGTGGCCCACTATCCTCTTGCTATCAGGGTACATTTAGTGCTTGAGCCTGAACCCTAAAAAAGCTGGTTTACTTGGCCAAAAAACAGGCCTGGACTACAATTTATAGACAATAATCACAACTGAAATCACAGTACAAAAATATCGCAACTCGTTATCCAAAATAACATATTCACAAATCGTCCAGCCCTACATGTCCAGCAAAAAGAAAAGAGACACACACCCCTTATGAGACCTGGGCTTACACTCACAAAGCTCCTCAGCATAGGAGTGCTGACCCAGGATTAGAGTCCTCTCTTATTTACTACACTTTAGGGACAGATCCTGGACCAGCTCTCCTACTCCGAGAGGCTTCTGAATATGGGCCCAGGTGGCCAAATTCAGGTCCTGGGTGGTCACAGCACTGCAAACAGCAGTTTTTCCCTCCTCTAAAATGCGAATTGAACTCGTGAAGGCATTGCTGAGCTGAAGCAGGTGTTTTAGATGAGGTTTGGCTGCTCTACTCTAGCGCTGTGGCCCTGAAGCCTCATAAGAGCAGGCAGCACTAACTGGATCAGTGCAGCTGACTGTCTGGGTATGTGAGGAACCCAAAGGTGAAGTGCCTTCAAACGGACAAGTGTCCTCCTTCTTTAGTGGAGGTTACTTTATAGTGGGCTTATCATCTAATAACCGCAGCAGTTCAGTCGGACGAGCCTGCTGTCCGAATTTATTAGGAAATGTTTTGCTAGCAGTCTCGCCCCACAGCTACATCCATATCTATACAGCCGTTAGCGTAAATGAACTCGTTCTTTTTGAGGAGGGAGGGGGTGAGAAGAGAGAAACCGTGTTTCTTGTCTTTTTTCACTCCTTCCTACATGAATTAGAGGACATTTCTGACAGGAATGTGTACCTCAGCTCACTAAAAACGGCCGAACTGTCTTTAACGCTTGCTTTACCTGAGGTAACGATACGTTAACGGCTCCTCGGTCAAGACTTTTCGGGCTGCCTCAAAAAACAAACAGGGCGGGGGGTGAAGCTGAGACACAGGGGATGTTTTGGTTGATGGTTCTCTCCGGCGTGTCTCCTCATGCGCCGTGTCGCCCGTTTCTGTGGTGAGGAAGACGCTGCCGTTGCCGTTATCTCCTCACGTCTCTCCTCGGCAGTGCCGCAGAGTCTGCGCGTCCCGTATGTGTACCGCTGCACACGGTGGTACACCCCCCCGCCCCCAGACCGGGGATGGATTCTCTTTTTTCCCGCCGAAAACACGCGCGGCGCGAGCGTCTCTCGCCACAGAAGGAGCGCGCCAAACCAGGTCGAGGCGAGGTGTCGTCCTCTCGCTTGGTTTGGGATGGAGGGCAGGCTGAGGAGGTGCGGAGAGCCGTGTGTGATTCCCTCTCCGCGGTCACACACACACTGTCTGACATGCCCGCGGCTCGCAGGCGCTTTCCACACACACACACACACACGCACACGCACACTCACACCACACACACGGCACTGCCTACAGTTCTTAAAGAGACACGGCACCACAGCGGCCTCTCTTGTAGACTTGTAGGCAGGATTGGGATGTAAAGCATTACAAGTATTGGGAAAAATGTATTTCAGAATATTTAGAAATCAATATCTGTATTCAGTCCAGGTTACGTTCTGTAGGCAGTATTCAGAACACAGTTCTGAATACACACCATCAATGTTTGTTTATTAACTACTTTATAATAATGCACGACATATTCTAAAGACGTTTTACAAACAGAATAGTTTCTGCTGAAGCCTGAGTAGACTGATAAATCAATGAGTGCGTTTACATGCACTGAATAATTTGATAACTGCAGGAAATCAGATTTTGTCAGTAATCTGATCAATGCGTTAACATGCACTTGGGTAATCAGATAAAGGAAAATTTTACATGAGTCAGGGAAAAGTGGTATTTCTGCTTCGCAACCAGCCAATAAATTCACAGAAGAAAACGTGACGTAGATGTAGGGCAAAACTCAAACTTCATGCCATGGCTTTTTTAAAAACATTGAGTCACTTTAACTGAAAATAAGAAAATACATCATCTAGAATATGAAGAATATTGAAATCCTTCGTTTCGTCAAGCATGTACTTTTCAGCAGGTTTCAGCATCGCTACAAAAGTGTTGTGTTGCCGTCTCATGGGTGCTGTATTAAATGCTGCTTGCTTATTTCCGGTACCGCAGTCTGTTTTCGCACATGTGCTGACAGACAGAAATCCGAAAGAAATCAAAGTAAGGGTATACATGCAGTAATCCGATTACTGACCTAAAATCCAGCTCTTTTCATCAGATTTCTTAGTCAGATTTCTACACCTTACTCTGATCTAAGAAATCGGAGTATGATGTTTACATGACCATTTTAATAATTAGATAACTGCAGAAATCTGATTGTGATCAGTTTATTAAATGAATGTAAATGCACGCACTGTGATGATCAGTTATTAATCTCAGTGTTACTGAGCTCTGGTAAAGCCTGAGTAGACCAAGAAATCATTGTGATGATCACTTATTAATCTCAGTGTTACTGAACTGTGCTAAAGCCTGAGTAGACTGATAAATCAATGTGATGATCAGTTATTAACCTCAGTGTTACTGAGCTGTGCTAAAGCCTGAGTAGACTGATAAATCAATGTGATCATTTCAGTGTTACTGAGCCCTTTTGAGGGACAATATAACTAAAAAGTCTCCTCAGTAGTGGACATGTTTATGTAGCATTGGTATTGTGCTGTACTCGTGTATGCATTTTGCAGCAAATTACATACATTCATTATCTGAAAATTGGATAGCTACTCACTTTATAGTCAACCATGCAAGATTTTGATACTGGAATATGGCAAATTGTTTTGCTTATTTTAGGAAAAAGCAGTGGGATTTTGGGAGCAGCTGTGGATGAGAACCAAAAAAATGTGTTGAGAATTTCGTAACTTAAATAAGTGAATTTTCAATAAAACATATTAACAAGATGAATTACATGAAAAAACCTGTCAACCAGTGACAGTGAGGATGATTGTGAATTAAATAGAAAGTACAACAGCAGTTTTCCAATCTGTCTAATCATAATGTATTCTAAATATATTCTGTCCAAACTTGCCTGTAGGCTATGTGACAAGTAGCCTAGTGAGCAGAAATACCTAAATGAAAAAATGGAGTAGTTCTTCAAGGATCATTCAGTGTTTCCTCAAACTGCAACACCGATGAAAACCCTTCAGGCAGTAGTGTAACTACAGTCTAATGGGCCCCAGTGCAAAAATAAATTCCCCAGATTTTTCTACATTTCTGCATTATTAAATGGTTAAGATGTAAACAAAGTCTTTTAAAGTGGTTTGATTTGGAATACACCATTCTCTTTACAGAACAAGACAAAAACAGACTTTAGTTTAATGTAACTTTGCACTCTACTGTCCACTATCAGGCAGATCATGTACAAATGGAGTGGTAATCCAACAAAAATGACTCTAAGAGTAAGGAGCATAACATTCTGCGAGATCACAAAGAACACTGGAGTAACATCTAAGGATCTGCAGGCCTCTCTTACACTGGCTAATATCAGTGTTCATGAGTTCACAATCAGACAAACACTGAACAAGAAAACGATGTGTGGAATGACAGCATGGAGAACACCACTGCTCTCCCGAAATAACATTGCTGCTTGTTTAAAGTTTCCTAAGGACAACCTGGGTGAGCAAAAAGAGTACTGAAATAATGTTATGTGGAGGACTAAGGCAAATAGACCTTTATGGCTTAAAGGAGAAATGATATGTTTGGCAAACACCAAACACTACATTCCAGCATAAGAGCCTCAACCCAACTGTGAAACATGGTGGTGGATGTATCATGGTTTGGGGCTGTTTTGCTTCTATTGGACCAGGACAGCTAGCAATCATTTGATGGAGCTATGAAATCTGGATTTTATCAAGAAAGTCTAGAGGAAAATTTTAGAGCATCCATCCATGAGCTTAATCTCAACAAAAGGTGGGTCCTGCAGAAACACAATAATGACTCTAAAAACACCAGTTAGTCCAAAAAGAATAGTTGAATGGTTGATGCATTTTGGAATGGCTTAGTCAAAGTCCAGACCTTAATCCAATAGAAATGTTGGGTTGAAGTATTTCCTGCTCAAGGGAAGGGAGTTCTCATCAGTTACTGAAAGCAGAGGTTCACATACTTTTGTCAACAAAGACATTTAACGTTGGATTTTGTTCAAAAAGTGAAATGAATTTTTTTTTTCAAATGAATGAAAAACTATATGATTGTGCTTTTTGTTTTATTGGGTTCTCTTTATCTATTGTTATGAAGTAGAAGAAAATATGGTCACATTTTAGGTCAGATTTATGTAGAAATTCACACAATATCAATATCACTGGTCATTTTGGATAGTAAATAAAACAACTATATTTGCATTTATAGACATAATAAACTCTGGTTTCTGTCACCACCACTGTAAAGAAATCTGAGTTGGTAAGTTTCTCTACAATGAATCATTTAGATCAAACCACTCTGAATTAATTTGTTTACTTCTCAATGATTAAATTATGGAGAAATTTTATGGGCTAATGTGCTTTTTTACTCACTATTGTTATATCTTAAATATGTTAAAGCTCTGAGAAACTGCATCTTTCTGTGAGCCATGGTTGTACAATTGTGTCCATGTCAATATGAGGCGCCCATTAAGGATTTTACCAGTCACCATGGGCCGCCCTGCACCAAAGGCGTCAATGTAAATACCACACCTACACCCAAGAAGTGTCAGCACTGCCTTCAGGACCACAAGGTGCCTTACAGGAGAATCCCCTAATGTTGCCATCAGGAGATTTAAATGATGGTTTAGCTGTTTTTCAGCCCAAGCCTTATTTCATCATTTGTGTTGCAACACAATATCACTGTTGTACTGAAAAACATGCCAATCTTTCAGAGCTTACATACCAATTTTCTGGAGCTTCTCACTAGGCACTAACACAGTACAGTGGGGTAGTAATTGAGCCTTTGGCAAACCTTGACAGATGTTAAGACACTCACTGAAACAGTATGTAACTGCACCATATACACATTAAAGTATACTTAAATGCATGTTTTATTTTGAACTCGTTTAAATAGGCATAAAAATAGGAGTGTATGTCCTCCATTTGCTCCATTCTTCTTTATGGCTTTGGCAGGGGGCTATGGCAGGGGTCACCAATCTTATCTGCAAAGCACTGGCTAGTTGCCATTCCAGCCAAGCAGGAGCACACCTCCTACAAGACCAGATGATCAAACAAGTGGAAATCAGGTGTGCTTTTGCATAATTGGAATGAAAACCCACAGCTGTCTAGATAAGATTGGTGACATCTGGCATATGGCATACAACATTCCAACCACTTCTGAATAAGAGGTAACACACTGCTAGCATAGCTGCAGTGGGTTACATTACATGTAAAGAGCCAATCAGGAAAAAAAGGTATCATTCTGGTCTTATTTAGTCTTAACTCTAACTGCTAAGGATTATTCTTTGGTTCCTACTTCCTTACACAGATACTAGTTCATTTTTTTCCTAAACTGGGCACAGTAATTATCAGCTTTAGTTTGCAATGTGATGTTAACCTTGAATAAGCAGGACACCACCTTTTGGTAGGAAGCTAACTGGTGTTAGTCGATTAGTAACTATGATTCTGTGATTAATAATCACCACTCATCCTTCATTTTTATGTGTCTATCATCTGTCCAGTCATTCATTTATCCATTCATCACCCATCCAACTATCTACTTACAATGAACTTGAATATTTGGATGTCCACAAAATTATTCTTATTTTAGCTTAGCACAGCATATTGGGATGAAATTCAAAAATTCAAAGTGCAGACTTCAGTTTTCAGCAAAGTTCAAGCTCATATTGTTTACTATATCTCCAATATGCTATGGTAGAAAACAATAACTTTGTCAGCAAAATTTATGAACCTGACTGTCTGTAAATGAAACTGTGTTGAACTGGTAATTAAGACCCTGCTGTACCACTGCCAGTTCACACACAGATGAGTGGCTCTCTATCTTCTGTGATCCTCAGTGCTTCCTTCCCTCTGTGATTCTGGGAGGTTCTCCCAACCCTTTGGCACAAGGAAGGGCACAGCAGAGCTCCCACAATTCTTTGTTTGGACCATATTCAGGCCCCTGTAATCCCTTAATTTGCAGATGAAGGTCACTCTGATTTCGTTTTTCCATTTTCCACTGGGTTAACACTCATGATTTTCAAACCTTAAATATGGCGGTGGTTGTTTTTGAGGGCTATTTAGATAAGGGCTGCTGTCAGTGTGACTGAATGTTGCAAATATATCTCCAGTGGATGACACAGAGGATCAAGCAGTCGTATAGTTCTAGTCTGGTGAACGTCTGCTAGCAACACTATCACAGAGCTGCACCTCTGATATAAAGTCGCCAAGCATTTAAAGTGATAGTTC